TTATAACCCACACTGGCAGATGTCCGACTCCCTAACACACAGTTTCAATCATGCCGAATGAGATTAATTCCATGCAAGCTCTGCTAACGCTCTTAGACACATTCCTTGTAAGGATAAGCACACTGAACGGTACTACGTCTCGCATGCTTGACCCATAGCTCAATTCCCTTCAAAAGACCATAGTAATCTACATCTTCCAGGCCTATACTCGAGGGTAAAGGATATCTACTTTCGGGTTGAGTATTCCTGAGATTACCCCATATCATGGCCATGAACCCTGCAAGTCCAAGAGGTCCACTTGCGATTCTTCCGCTAGCAAACAGTAGGCAAAGAACAGTGCTGACCTTTTCCCGAACCGAGATGTATCCAATGTAATAAAGCGACTTATTGAAGGTTCATCATTTAAATATTTGTGATATTCGAACAGAGAGGAGAATTTTCATATTGTATGCTCCTGATAGCCAAGCCCACCACATCCGTTTTGTGGTTCCCAGCCGTCATGTCATTAAGTTACACTTTAAGCAATCCTTGAAACCTTTGCAAAGGACTGCCTCCCATAGAAAAACGAAATCTCGAAGTATGCTCACCCGACCCAAGAGGTATGAAGGCAGAAAAGGAAATGTAAACACCCATACACCAAGAGGAAGAGTACATGAAAAGGGTAAAAAACATCAAAGCTATCAATATGTATACATGTCATACACGTGTTAAGACAGAGGTGAAGAGAGGAAGAGGTTGATGGAGAAACAATCGCAAAAGATCACCCATTGACTTTTGAATATGTCGCTCAAATATAATTGGTGGTACATTTAGGCCTTGTTCTCACCCTGCTGGCCCTGAGACTGCTGCTGCTGCTGCTCAGACTGAGCCTTGTGCATCTTGTCAAAGAGGGTCAAGCTGGCAGTCTGGAGCTCATCGGTCTTCTGCTTGAGCTCCTCAGCAGTGGCGGTACCCTCACCAGTCTGGTTCTTGGCAACGAACTCACGCAGAGTGACGATCTTCTCGCGGATCTGCTCGGCCTCGGCCTTGTCAAGACGGTCCTCGAACTCCTTGAGAGCCTTCTCGGTGTCGTTCAGAACACTGTCGGCACGGTTGGCAGCCTCGATGGCAGCCTTGCGCTCCTTGTCCTGCTCACCGTACTTCTCAGCATCCTCAACCATCGACTGAATCTCAGCGTCAGAGAGACCAGAGCCAGAGGCAATGGTGATGGACTGGTCCTTGCCAGTGGACTTGTCCTTGGCGGCAACGTGGACAATGGAATCGGCATCAATGTCGAAGGTGACCTCGATCTGGGGAACACCACGGTGGGCGGGAGGGATACCAACAAGCTGGAAGTTTCCAAGCAGCTTGTTGTCCTTGACAAGCTCACGCTCACCCTGGAACACCTTGATCTCGACAGCAGTCTGGAAATCAGCGGCGGTGGAGAAGGTCTGGGACTTCTTGGTGGGGATGGTAGTATTGCGGTTGATCAGACGAGTGAAGACACCACCCAGAGTCTCGATACCGAGGGACAGGGGAGTGACATCGAGCAGCAGAACATCAGTAACCTCACCAGCCAGGACGGCACCCTGGATGGCAGCACCGATGGCAACAGCCTCGTCAGGGTTAACAGACTTGGCGGGGTCACGACCGAACATGGACTTAACGGACTCGGCAACCTTGGGCATACGAGTCATACCACCAACCAGGATGATATCCTGAATGTCGCTGGCCTGAAGGTTGGCATCCTTGAGAGCCTTGCGGACGGGGTCAATGGTGCGGTTGATCAGGGGGTCGACGAGGGACTCAAGCTGAGAGCGAGTCATCTTGAGGTTGATGTGCTTAGCGCCGCTAGCATCGGCAGTGATGAAGGGCAGGTTGATCTCGGTCTGAAGGGAGGAAGAAAGCTCGATCTTAGCCTTCTCAGCGGCCTCACGAATACGCTGGATAGCCATGCGGTCGTTGGAGAGATCAAGGCCAGAGTCCTTCTTGAACTGCTGGACAATGTGGCGAACCAGGTGGATATCAAAGTCCTCACCACCAAGGTGGGTGTCACCGTTAGTGGACTTGACCTCGAACACACCCTTCTGGATCTCCAGAACGGAGATATCGAAAGTACCACCACCAAGATCATAGACGGCGACAACACGGTCGGCCTCCTTCTCCAGACCGTAGGCAAGGGCAGCAGCGGTAGGTTCGTTAACAACACGGAGAACGTTCAGACCAGCGATCTGACCAGCGTCCTTGGTAGCCTGACGCTGAGAGTCGTTGAAATAAGCGGGAACAGTGACGACAGCGTTCTTGACGGGCTTGCTGAGGTAGTTCTCAGCAGTCTCCTTCATCTTCTGGAGGACGAAACCACCAATCTGAGATGGCGAGTACTTCTGACCACGAGCCTCAACCCAGGCATCGCCGTTGGTGTGCTGAACGATCTTGTAGGGGACCTCCTTGATGTCACGCTGGACCTCGGGATCGGTGAACTTGCGACCGATGAGACGCTTGGTGGCAAACAAAGTGTTCTCAGGGTTGACAACGGCCTGACGCTTGGCAGCAATACCGACCAGACGCTCACCATCCTGGGCGAAAGCAACAACGGAGGGTGTTGTTCTGGCACCTTTTCATATAAAGTCAGCTAAACTGCCATACACCAGAATCGCGGCAGATGCTTCGGATTCGTGCATCCAGTCAAATGACAGCATAAAAAATTTTTTTAAAAAAACGTACCTTCTGCGTTCTCAATGATCTTGGGGGTCTTGCCCTCCATGATGGCGACGGCCGAGTTTGTGGTACCTGGGAAATGCTGTCAGATGGAAGGTCTCAAGAATGAATACTGCCACAATAACATACCCAGATCGATACCGATGACCTGGCCCTTAACCTTCTCACCCTCAGTGGAGTTCCATCTGCGGAAAGAGGCGCTGGGAACTCTGAAAGCAGGGGTGCGGACAGTACGCGGCAACTGAAAGAAAAAACCAAGGGTTAGTCTAGAGAATCGAGCTTGTGATGATTGTTTCGGAAGAGGACAACATACAGCGCGGACGAGACGAGAGGACATCATGGTGACTTGATTAAAAGGTATTTAAATAATACAGAAACTCAAAAAGAAGAAACTAGCGAGAGCTCCGGTCGATTCAATCGAAGGGAGTACGATATAGAGAAAGAGAGGTAGGGAGAGGTGACGGGAGGTTGAGAAGAGGAAAGGTGATAGATGAATTTTTTTATGTCCGGGGAAAAAGAGACTTGAAAAGGAAGAAGGGAGAAGGGCGAGGTAGTAGTAGAAATTGCACGGAGAGCTTCGGCCCGTCGTCGAAGTTGGTAGAATCATGGCAACATACCTGTCCACCCAATGATAGCCGAGTTACCCTTAGACCGCCTCCTACCCGGACCAATCACCAGCTGTGAGAGATGGCCCTCTAAAATTCTTGGTCCTAAGTCTCAAAGGTAAGGTACTGTACTGAGCCTGGTGACAGAGTCAAGGCAAAATGAGCAAGTCAATTGCTCTTGCATATCTTCACTTTCTCTTAATATTTGAATGTCCAATATGCTACATTATGCTGCATCTTCCTCTCAGTGTCCAAGTGTTATAGGAGAATGACTGGCCATGGGGGTTAATTGGACGGCATGAACGCAGAACCTGAGATATCATTTCAATGCTAATGTAGCTCCAGCCTATGCTTTGTTTTGCTTACAAGAAAAGTTTTATACCATCTACACGAAGAAACCTTGCAATGGCCCTAGCATAGATGATATCTGGATTGATCTGTGTAGTGATAAGATTCCTTGTATACCTTCACACAGCGGAAAAGGCAACAAGCATGAAGTAGACCTTAATATAGCTTCTCTGCTTAAGAGGACTATAGAGTACCATGCCAATATCAGCCCTACCGAATATCCGTCTCCTATACTAGTGGGACACAGCAAAAGTGCCGGAAACCGGCAGAGAAATCTGGTTATGTCTGGTAGAGGATGGAATCCTATAGTGCTGTGGCAAATCTGAAGTATCTTATTACGCCGGAGTCTCTTCCGAGGCCAGCATTATTATTGACAGCATGATCTACAACTTCTTAATGCTAAGTTCCAAGGAGACTTTCCCAACGAGTGCTATGAGCTTATGTGACTTGGAGATCTCACTAGCATTCCGCCTCCCGGTATGACAGACAAGATCCCCTCAAGAAACTGCAGATGGGCATACTCACGTGCTGATAACTGGAACAGACTGCTTTGATGTTCAAAAGATAGCTCTGTGGCTAAGTAGGCGCAAAATATGTCATTCTATAAATGAAAATTAGTTCCACTACAGCAAATGCATGATATGCGATCTTGGTGCTTTCCCTGCGTACAGAGAGAATCTGTTGTCCACGGGCCTGCGGGCAGATTACATAGAATTCATCAGGCTTTCCTCAACGTGCTGGATGCATCTACTACCCCTGGTATAGGCACTAGACCAGTCTAATTCCGGAGACTCGGCAGGATGATTTCGAGATGCAAATGGAATGGAAGATTGGCCAGCCCATTATTCGCTGAAGGTTCCCCCGGATTTGTCTGTGACAAGTCTTACGTCATCAGCTCTGGGCCAGTGATCACAACCCCCAGGCCTCGACCATCCCCAAGTCGTCACTCTCAGTCACACTACCACTGCTACCTTACTACCTTACCTTACCTATACCTCTTATCTATCTTACCCTAGCTAAATTTATGGTCGACGATGATCCAATACCTAGGTAGTCGCATTAGCAACAACAGCAATTATCTTCCGATTCTGGTCCCCAGCCCAGGAATTCATTAATTCAACAACTACCTACCTTGGGTTCGGGTGCTTGCTACTACCAGGTTGTAGGGTACCTCATCTCACGGGCAGAAGGCACCTTCGCAATTTGTCCATCGCCACTTACAACACTACCTACCTCTATCATATTCATCATCGTCATCTTCCTCGTCTCCTCTCTACAGTCCGCTCCGTAGCCGCGGCGTCTACCACAGTCCCGCTCCAACAATGTCATCGTGATCTTGACTGAACCATCATGACTACAGATTCTACTCTTTCGTTGGTCCACACCCGCCTCTAGTATTGGCTTGTTTCGACTTCACTTAACTAACACCGTCGGTCTAATTAGACATCACTCAACTGAGTCACTGATCCTTGCAACAAAACGCCGATTTTTCCCTTTCAAAATACCCAACTTGTCTGTCACTCTGCTTCACTGGCTTGTCGCATGAATGGGCCGCGCTAACAGTACCGTAGCCACCAACAACTTCGGAACTATATCAGTACCGCCGACCCGGACAGGATCTATTTAGTCGCTGACAGAGTGATATATTCCATCCACATTTCGTCCCAAAAGCGAGAGACAATAGCGGTCATACCGTTCGAGCCGAAATGCCTCACCGCGGGTTATGGTTGGATAGGTGTTGGGGGCTCCGACAATGGAGAGTGTGCCTTTGTACGGATTGCTAATGAGGCTGCGCGTGGCGATACACCTGTTTTTCAGTCCTCAGATGTTGATACTGCCTTACCCATCAACTTGGAACCTCCGACAAGGCTTTCCTCTCCTTGGCCGTCTCGAGGAGAGTCCGAGTCAACTCGCCAGGCTTCAAGGCCGCTTATGCCCGAGGTACAGTTGCACAAGTTTGGTGGCAGTATTGTGAACTCGGTGACTATTCACCGGTTGCCCGGTGCCGACAAGGGATTCGCCGATGAGGACATTATGGTCCTAAGGTATTTCCACCATGGAAAACTCCCGATCTGACAGTTGGTGCTGAATATGCCGTAGTAATAATGACAAGACTGTCACCATCTATTCCCTGACTCGGTCGAAAGTCCTCAAGGTCCTTCATCACCAAGCATGCATGAATTATGCTATTATGTCACCGGACTCCACTCTGCTTGCTGCGGTTGGAGATGAGACTCATGCATATTTCTACGACGTTACTTGTGATTTGGAGACAACGGTTCTGACAGAGAACGGTGAGAAGCTTCCCGCGTGGGATTGGGACCTCATCCGTTGCATAGAGATGGATATTGGCACACGCTTCGACGATGGCTGCTGTTTCACTGTTGCATTCTCTCCGTTCAGTCGATTGTGCGCTATCGGTTCACAGTCCGGAGTTATTACAGTGTTCGACGTGGCCACAGTTCGAAACCCGGCGGGCGAGCCAGACGGTAAGAATGCGATAATATGCAGTTTCAACTCCTCAAGACAGTGCTGTAACGGTGGTGCTGTGCGATGCATGGCTTTTGCACCTGAGCCTTGGGACCTCCTAGTGTGGCTTGAAGACAAAGGACGAGCCGGGGTTGCGGATGTTCGCCAGACTTTTATACGCAGACAGATTCTAAATCTAGATATGAACGACCCGGACTTGCAAGAAGTATATACGGAACCGGTACTGGATGACTCTGAAGAACTCGAATATGACCTTGACGGTCGGGTTCTCGCTGACTCTCGGCATGGAACGGATGCAACCCACCGGGCTATTCTCGATTCAATCGAGCGTGCTTCAAATGAGCGGGGAAATGGGGCGGATAATTCTCCTTTGCGTGAGAGCTTGATACAGGACCTCACACAGAGGGAGAGGCTGATTGTGGAATTTTTGAATACAGCACGTTGGACGTCCAGGTTAGAAGAAGGCCTGACTGAACGGCGAGCAAGGGTCAACGCCCAACCGCACCCTGTACCTCGCTCACATATCCAAGGCTCCACAGAAGGCACTCATCGGTCATCCCGTCCTACCTCGCCACCACACCGAAGTGACGCTCTTATTGATACGTTTCGGGAAAACTACCTTAGCCATACGAGAATTCCCAACCGGAACTTGAATGCAGGGCGCGACAACCCTGTGACTCTTCCACAGGAATATCCCGAGGGTAATAGAACAGTGATTGGAACAGGATCTAATGTTGGACCGCAGCCAAGTCTCACTCTGACCTGGACAGCTTCACCGTCAGAATTTCAGTCTGCCGCATTCCTTGATCGCTCGCATGCTGCAGACCCCAATGCCGATGGTCCGAGCAGCTCTAATAGTGAAGTAGGTTCGGAGAGTCGGGCTCATGAATCCCCAGCTCGCCCGTCTGCCACCATTGATCATTCTAGCGCTTCGCGACTGACGGCATCCGATAGTCGGCATGACTTGGGACGTCTGTCAACTTCGGAGTTGAGGACTAATGTCGCTGCAGAGCGTCTTCGAAGGCAACGACAAATTATCAACGAGGCGCAAAATAGAAACAATCAACGTGAACAACGATACCGGCAACAGCTCTTGGGCTTTGAACAGACACGCTCTCCTAGATGGATCAGGAGCGTCTTGAACGAGCTCCCAGACAGGGGTCTAGGGTCCGGAACTAGAGACCTGGAGTCAGGTAGCACGGCTGGATTGGGGTTCGGCGCTGACGGAAGGACACTGTGAGACCAGGCCTTTCTCTGTTCCAAGCTCAAGTAGGAAAACTGACTTGAACAGGTATATTGCCACAGTAGATGGCATTTTCGAATTCCAGATCAATACAGCTGACCGAAAGACATTCCCCATTATCTCCTATCGATGAGAGGAGCATTTTCAAAAACATGGGCTCTATCATCCACATCTGATGATTTACTATCTATATGGTGAGCTGGAAACAGCTCAACGATGCAATTCCTCGTCCTTTTCGTCATGATTCTTCTTCGTCTTCTTCGTCTTACTTCAAACTTTTGTTGATCTCCCTCTCGTCGTCCTGGCCTCGTTACATCTGAAGAGATAGGCTCCGTTGTGTCCATCCTTACGGAGCAGTATAGCGAACCGAGGAAAGCCCATCAATCAGCTTTGCCACAGGTTTCTTTTCTCATTTGGAGACATTCGTCCTTGCACACTGACTTGAGTATGCATGTGTATAAGCCCTTTAACTTTGCATGAATGGTTCAGTTGGCATACTGCACCTATGCATGGCGTTTACGGCGACTGTATATGGTCATTTTTGTATGCAGGAATAGCTGCTGGATATACGGTGTGGCAGAAAAGTCTGCTCAAGTCATCTGATACATAAATTACTACGATATGTGGAATAATAAACAGGACAGTAGAGACCTTGAAGGAGAGAGACACAAATCCCAACTGCTTGATAGTGATCAACAAGTAGCAGTATTAGACCAGGAAGGAGGATTACTACAGTCCCCACACGACGTCAGCGAAAGTTGTGTGTGGACTCGCTTTAAGTCTAGCGTTACTGCCATTCAACGCCGCCATTTGATGATACACCACCTGCTCGTACAGTTGCTTGCTTCTTATCTCCTCACTCATTTATGAATATTAGCTGCTTAGAGCCGTCTTCCTTGTGTCAATTATTTCCCCTCCCAGCATAAACCATTGTCAATAGTATTCACAGGTAGGCCACGTGACTGTGAATCTGGAGTGGAGGGTTGTTCCAACTATTCTGGGTTTCCAGATCGAACATCCCTCAACTCAAGAAACGCTGCGCTGAATCTCAGGGATACCAGGCGGATTTTTAGTCCTGACATCTCTCTGCACGGCTTCTCCCAATGGCGGAAACGTTGGCCTCAACCTTGGCCGGCCTGGACCTCGATTCCGCGAATTTAAGCGGGTCAGCTTTCGATGCTCAGCTTGCTGAAGAGGAAAATGGAACCTACAGACACCGTGGTCCTCGCCAGCGGCCACGACAGAGTGCCTCAGACCTCAAAGCTGAATTAGAGACAGAGTTTTTGACACCGTCACCACGATTCAGCACAGAATGGCTCAACCGCCTTCAAAAGTTTGTTTTGACAACCTACGCCTGGCTTGTATTACTAACGATGCTTGCAGGCGATGGGATGTCTCCACTGATTACACGGACCTCTACGAGGTTGCTCCCACCCAAACACGCACAATTGTTCGTTTTACCCGGGAAGGTCTGGAGGGTCGAGTCACTGGTTACCACGAAGTCACGGTCCCCGCTGCGGCGGCCAACGCCAAAAATTCGACGTCTCTCCTCCGCAGGCCCGCGGGTCGTGCTGACTTCGTGAGAGGCGCGGCAGGATTCTTTCCCTTTGCGCCGGGCGGACTCGATGGTGTCGAGGCTATTGCTGAAATGGAATCCGAAGCACAGGCTGCGGAACGCTCAAGAACTGGTGGCAAACAGTCCGGTCTCGACCGCATTATCAATTTTGGAGCCGAGGGTGGCCTTTTGGGGATTCCGCCGGGCTTTTCCCGCGGGTTGAAATTCGAGGCAGCTAAAACCAAGGAAGCAGCGGAGGGTGACGAGGAAGTTGAGCATGCCCTCCAGCAAGAAGAAAGCGATCTCCATGTGGAGCGAGATGAAGACGCCGCCTCGGATGTTGAAGGTGGGGTGAAGATTGACGAGGATGATGAATTGAGTGGCGAGGAGGAAGATATCGATTCTCTCCTCCCCGTCGAGTTCCCGGCCCTGGAGCCTCGGGCGCCATTGCTCGGCGGCGTCAAGCAAAGGCAGGGTGGCAGAGAGTGGGCTCACGTCGTGGACGTCAATAAACACATCCCTAATTTCCATGAACTCGTGCCCGACATGGCTCGGGAGTGGCCATTTGAGCTTGATACCTTCCAGAAGGAAGCAGTGTATCATCTCGAGAATGGCGATTCAGTCTTTGTCGCGGCTCATACATCAGCTGGTAAAACCGTCGTTGCAGAATACGCTATCGCTCTGGCCTCGAAGCATATGACCAAGGCGATTTACACATCTCCTATCAAAGCTCTGAGCAATCAAAAGTTCAGAGACTTCAGAACTGAGTTCGACGATGTTGGAATCCTCACCGGAGATGTTCAAATCAACCCGGAGGCCAGCTGCCTGATCATGACTACCGAGATCTTGCGGAGTATGCTCTACCGGGGCGCGGATCTGATCAGAGATGTTGAATTTGTGATCTTTGACGAAGTGCACTATGTGAATGATCTCGAACGAGGTGTTGTATGGGAGGAAGTCATCATCATGCTTCCGGAGCATGTTACTCTCATCCTGCTCTCCGCTACAGTTCCCAACACCTATGAATTTGCCTCCTGGATTGGTCGTACGAAGAAGAAGGATATCTACGTCATCTCCACCGCCAAACGTCCTGTTCCACTGGAGCACTATCTCTGGGCAGGCAAAGACAAGTACAAAATTGTCGACTCGAACAAGCGTTTTCTCGAGAGTGGCTGGAAAGAAGCAGACAACGTCATCTCCGGCAGAGATAAAATCAAAGCTCAAAAGGCCGCCGAAGCTCAAGCTCAGTCTCAAGCACAGCGCGGAGGACAGCAAGGCAGAGGACGTGGGCAACCTGCCGGTAGAGGGGCTCCTCGCGGAAACGCTCAGCGGGGCGGTGCTCCTCGCGGCAGAGGCCAGCCAGCGAACAGGGGTACTGGCAATATCGCTCGTACAGGACGAGGTGGAGGACGAACAACGGCTGCTCAGGACAAGACAATCTGGGTACAGCTCGTGGGGCACCTTCGAAAAGAGAACTTGCTTCCGGGCTGTATCTTTGTTTTCTCGAAAAAGAGGTGTGAAGAGAATGCCGACTCACTCTCCAATCAAGATTTCTGCAATTCTTCCGAGAAGAGTTTGATTCACATGTTTATCGAAAAGTCCCTGACCCGACTCAAGCCAGAAGACAGAACGCTGCCACAAATTCTTCGACTGCGAGAGCTGCTAAGCAGAGGTATCGCTGTTCACCATGGTGGTCTTCTGCCAATCATGAAAGAAATTGTGGAAATTTTGTTCGCAAAATCGTTGGTCAAGATTCTTTTCGCTACGGAGACGTTTGCAATGGGTCTCAATCTGCCCACGCGGACGGTCGTTTTCTCCGGATTCCGAAAGCACGACGGTAGGGGCTTTAGAGATCTCTTGCCAGGAGAGTATACTCAGATGGCAGGACGTGCTGGACGGAGAGGTCTTGACACTGTTGGATACGTCATCATAGTGAACGCCGGTAGAGACGAGGCACCTCCTGCTGGTGCTTTGAGGAAGATGATCCTTGGTGACCCGACAAAACTCCGGTCTCAGTTCAGACTCACTTACAACATGATTTTGAACCTCTTGCGTGTGGAAGCTCTGAAGATTGAGGAGATGATCAAGCGAAGCTTCAGTGAAAATGCCACTCAGGCTTTGCTGCCGGAGCATGAGAAACAGGTCCAGCTTTCTGAAGCAAGTCTGGCGAAGATCAAACGAGAACCTTGCGATATCTGCGACATTGACCTGGTGGCCTGCCATGATGCAGCTATCGAGTATGAGAAGCTGACGAGCGAGCTTCACGTTGGTCTACTTGCCTCTCCTGTCGGAAAGCGTCTCTTCATGCCAAAGCGGCTTGTTGTTTATCGAAAGGTTAGTCGGACGGTGGATGTTATTACCTTCTATTCTCGCATTGACTGAACCTTTCATAGGATGGTTTCCGAACTGCAGGTATCATTGTTAGAGAAGGTGTTGGAGGGGGTGCTACTCCTAGCATACAGGTCCTTGAGATCGGCAAATTGAGCCACAGACGCCATCCAAGCGACATTTTGCCCTTCCTTCCAAGATTCCGACATTTGTTACAACCTCTGCCGACTCGTGCTGCCGACATGACGCTGAAAGTTTGCAAGATTCCTCTTTCAGACCTAGAGTGTGTTACCAACACGATGGTGAAACTGGGTGGTCCAACATGGTACCTGAATATCAAGAAAGGTTGGGTTTGAATTTTGTGTCCATCACTGTAGCAGAAGCTAACTGGAAACACACAGAGGCAATTAAATTCGCGGACAAGGAGCTTTCGAAACTTTGCGCTTCCTGGACAAGCCCTGTCTGGGATGAGATGGACTGGGCTCGGATCAAAGAGCTACAAGTGCGAGACATACTAGAAAAACGGCAAGCACAGGCAGCTATCGCTCAATCTTGCCGCTGCTTACAGTGCCCGTCTTTCCTGAAGCATGTGAGTTGCTATCGCTTGTATAACCGATATTTCGTAAACTACATTGATACTGACTTTGAGCAGTTTGAGATGCAACACGATGAATGGCAGGTGAAGGAGAATATCACCCAGCTAAAACAGCTCATGTCGGACCAAAACCTGCAACTTCTACCGGACTACGAGCAGCGCATCCAAGTGCTAAGAGATCTGGGGTTCATTGATGAGCAATCTCGGGTTCAACTGAAGGGCAAAGTGGCATGTGAGGTGAGTCATCCAATCTTCCGTCAGGCTAGATGTGTAGAGCTAATATTTATGGACAGATTCACTCGGCTGATGAACTGGTACTGACGGAGTTGATTCTCGAGAACGTCCTGGCCGAATACGAGCCTGAGGAGATTGTTGCGCTCTTGTCCGCATTTGTCTTCCAGGAGAAGACAGAGAACGTTCCTACATTGACCCCTCGTTTGGAAAAGGGCAAGGAGTCGATTATTCGGATCTCGGAGAAGGTGAACGACCTCCAAATCCAATACCAGGTCATTCAGTCTA